GACTATAAAAAAGATGGACAAAATATCTGTGACGTCACCCACAGGTTTCCTCAAGCAGTTTTGAAGCTCAGTGTGGTGACTCCGGTTGTCCCCATCTTGGCTATGCATGGCTCTGACTAACGCCTGGCTGAACCAAAAATGAGCAATGAGGTGGTGCGTGAGTGGAATTGAGGTGAACCATGGATTGTCCTGTGATCAGCCCCACCTGTCACTCAAAATGGCCATGCATTAATTATGCAAAACGTTAAGAATTAGTACAATTTTAAACAGGTGTGTTATATGCAAGTGTACCCTCCGTACAGTTGTCACAAACTGGGAAACTGGCTATAGCAAGTAAAAGAGCTTTTTTGTACCAGACTGTTAACATATTTATGTTTGCTGTAAAGTTTTTTGACGTGGGGGTCTACAGGGACTGGCTTGCTTATGTAACCAGCCTCAAGTGGACATTCAAGGAACTGCAGTTTTTGAAACTCAGGTTATTTTATACCATAAAAAACAGTCTGATAGAGTTTTCTAAAGTTCCAATTTAATCCATTAAATGCCACCATGTAAAAACATAATGACAATGTTATGCCAGTTCAGTTCCATGAACAAACTCCATGCACGCTCGCTCTCTGGCTCATAAACTTCCTGTCTTACTTTGATAATGGAGCCCCTTCACCTCGAAAAATAGGCAAAAGTTGTTAAATCCAAAGCAAGGGAGTGAAATTCAAATTAAGCCTTTTATTTCTTGGCCTGTATTAAAAATAAGTATTTAAAATGAACAGTAATTACTGATTATATTAACTGAAATAAAACATTTTATTGTAGTAGATTTCCCAGCTATATCACCCAGCCTTAGGCTGAATGAGTAACCCATGCATGGAGATGTTGGTACAGTCAGTATGAGGTGTCATTGTGGCTGTGATATGGAGGAGGAATACAGGATGACTACTATCTTTATTTATCTTCGATACTGTAGTTGAGTGATTCCTAATTAGCACAATATTTTTCACAATTCATAGTTGACAGAAACACGTTTGTGTGCATCAACAATAACAGTTGCACCACAAATTTCCAGTAAGTTGCTTTTGAAAGTTGGAAGGTTTTGCTGAATGTACTTCCCGAGAATCAAAACATTACTTTAAATTTATGCAGGTTTTTTTAAAACTGCTTTCAGGCTAGAAACCAAGTAGATCTTGATTGGCATCAAAGGGGTTTCTGAAGTTGAAGTAAATATAATAAATAAACCATAAGGATTCTGATTTAATAAAGTGGTAATCTGTGTGGGGGGATTATGTTTAAAAACACACATTTATACCAACTGAGATGCAGAAAATTTGAAATCCTATGTAATGAATTCTAAGCATGTGCTTGTCCTGGTTTACAATTCTAGTAAAATGTATTCCGATCAGGCCAGTGCACTGGAAATGACAAAATAGTATTTTTGATGTACACACCAGGCATAAGCCCCTTTTGTTAACACTTTATTCTGTGTTTTTATGTTTTACGTGGCAGATTGGGTTGAATTGCAGGCTGTCCTCTTTACTCTAATCCCCTTCCCACTGCCATGACTGATAATGTGTGAACACGATTTAAGCTTTACTGCACATCACCATGGCAGCGTGCCTGAGGGCTGAGTCAGGGTCATCATAGAGACACAGAGGCAGGTTAATATGAGGTCACCATGGTGATATTCACCTAGGTCAAGCTGTAGCCAGAGAGGTCAGAGTCAAAGTCCGGTCGTGACGTGAATGGTGATGGCGACAAATTATTCTGAGGTCACAGTTGCTATGGCGATAAACAGGAAGGAGGACTAATTGAAGGGGCTAAAGGGAGGGTCAGCATCACAGCTGGGCTCTCAGTCGTCCATCATACGGCCTGCTTAGACGTCGTGACGGCCCAAGGTGAGATAGAGATGAACAGACAAAGACAGCAGGAGAGAGTGCACAGAGAGGAGGAAGAGGAGAGGGGAAAAGAAGCAGTAAAGGATGTGTTCATCAATCACTCAGGGCCGTCTGCTGACATGGCAGCTACAGGACTCCTTTTTGTTGGCAGAGACAACGTATCTATCTAAAGTAGGTGTTTTGGCAGGCACCTCTATGTGCACATATGCATGCATTCAGGCACCTGCACCTCAGTGTTAAGGTAAAGGCTCATCCTCTCTCAGCGTTAGCCACAGAAAGATGTTTGTGAAGTAGACAGCAGCGCTTGCCAACAAGAGAGGAGAGCGAGAGGGATGCTAAATAAGTTATCAGCTTATTAAACTGACAGATTTCAACATGTGTCTGCAATTCTTCCGATAAAATCACTGTGTCAGAAATAAAAACCTCCTGATCTGCCAGAGACTCTGCTGACACTAGGCTGCAGTGAAAGCTGACCTTTTTCTGCATATAAAGAGCCTCCTGTGGTTCTTCTCCGACATGGATTGTTTCTTGTTGTTTGTGTATTCAGCACATTCCCCTTGTCCCTCACTATGTGGCATGATATTTAGCACTGAGACAAGGCTCCCCTGATAGCAACATGCTGTGCAGGGAAACGGACCCACAGAAGAAACGAGGGAAATCATGCGTGAGCAGTGGCTTGTAATCTTGTGTTACCTCATCCTAATAGCGTAAGAGTGGAGTAAAACAGAATCTGGTGTCAGGGAGACCATTTATGAGAGCGATCCGCCACATCAGATGCTCTGACTCTAGAGGCTAGAGGGTCTTGTTCTATCGCATCAGCTCTCTCGGTCCTTCCCCCATCCTCTTCCACATTCATGACATGGTGTGAATGTGGGACAAACCCTGCAAGCTGCACAGATTGCAAATGACATTTCCCCGCTGTCATCTGGGTCTGCTCTCCCATTGCAATTACACTAAGCTGTGCTGTCATATCAAGACAGTATGTATGTTACATTTGAGTTCCCCAGGATTGTCAGGGGTAAATGGGACTGAAGGCAATGAAGCTCAAAACACATTTCAACAGCAGTCTTTTCTACCACTATCTATTCCCCTTGTCTCCTTGCCTCACAACTGTCCCATGGGTCTATCCCAGCTTAGAATAAACATCAGCAACCAGCTTTGTCTCTATGGCAACAACTGTGCATGCTGAACGGTGGAGGATGCAAGGAGTAGGCAGGAAAGGGTGGCGATGGTGATGGATGTTTCTAAATGTGGTGCGCTGTTCTGTCAGGAGATTTGGTGTTACAGTAGGTTAAGGGATCAGCAGGACCCCTGGGGGGGACACATCTGTCTTTCAGGTGGAAACCAAAGGATGATGGGAGGGGGTGGGGGTGAGGAACTTAGTTTCCTGGGTAGCCCAGTATAAGAGGTCAGTGGGGTTGGGCTGTGAAAGCCACCCAGTCAGTCTGTCACTTTAAGCTCGCCCTGACCCCCATCTCCCTTAACACCTGAACTGCCTGACTAGCCAGCTACAATTAAAGCAGTCTTTGCCTACATCCCACTTTCTGTGACAGCCTGAGGAAGTGTTGGATTGATCCGGCCAATACGCTCAATCTGCTCAAGCATTCAGAGTATTTGTTTTTCTTTTTTCCTTGTTCAGTTGTCTAAATATTATTTAGTTCCACCCTTGAGCCGGATTTGTCAGCAGGGATTTTGCCGGGCATGTTTTCACTCCCCATTTCTGCTTGCTGAGTACTTCCAACACTGGATGTTTCTACATTTTTTTCAGGACTGTTTTATGTAATTTGAGGATTGTGCTCAGCTGTACCCATCTGCTTTTCCTGGTTGTTTCCAAGCGAGGTGCCGGCTGTTGCCAGAGCAGGACGACCCCTGGCCCGATTCATGCGTCAACAGGCAGATGTCTGTTCAGGCATTTGTCAAGCAATCAGAGGATGAAGCTGCTCATAACGCAGACATGACACGACGTCATTATTGCCGGTGTTTCCCGCTGTAAGTTGGCTGCTGGACTCCTCAGAAACCAACCTGAAGGTTATCTGATACTAGCAGCTCAAGGTCATTACAGGAGGGTTGGCGCTGACTCAGGAAGTGATTGTAGGCGTTACTGCAGTTGGCTAGTCCTCTGCCTGCTTGCATTTGCCCACACTTCTTGCTTGTTTTTGTTAGCACTATGCGCATTTGTTCTGATAAATGCTTGTCCTTTATTATTATGGCTGTTTGTCGAGCAGCACAGGTTGATATGGCTTTGTCTTCCAGTTGTAAGCACTGACCTAGAAGAGACAGAGGCTCCATCTGCTGTTATTTGCAACTTGAGCCACGCTCCTGAGCACAGCCGGGTAATTCAATGCTACTTCCTGTCCTCACCTTGTGCAAACAGGCAAGGCCGAAGAGGTACCGTTTCAGGGAAAGTGGGGGAGGGGGACATTTTTGTGTCAATGTTCTTGTTCAGTAATTATGTGCGGGGACAAACGGCTGGTTTCAAGGGGAAAACAAATGAGGTGGGCTTTAGAGCTTCTTGTTAAACCTGGCGTGATCCGTCTTTGTGTGTGTGCTTGTTTGCCCACCACCTGTGTGGACTGGAAGTGTGCCCTTTCCTCAAGAACTGAGAAAACGACCTCTCTATCTCCCATCCACGGCTCTTGTATTATCACATAGGTATCACAGCGTGCCAATGTTGAGTTGAAAGGACGAGACACCTGGGAGAGAGAGATGCTTTCAACCCCATGCGACTCGGACAAAACAAAGACTTTGAATGCGTCATGTTGGACTTTGGATGATTGTAAAGGGCATTTTTTTCCCTGTTTTCTGAGAGACTGAAGAATTAATCGAGCTATAAAGCAATATCTGAATCAATAACAACAATTATCATTAGTTGCAGCAAACAGAGCTGTCATTAAGAATACATTAAACACGAGTTTAGGCATCTTCTGGTGTTATTATTTAGTCATTTTGAAAAGTAAATAGAAAGATGGACATAATTTTTGCTGAATGTGCATGTTTTTTGTCTAAGGCAATCTCATTGGATGCACTGTTTTGAGTACATACAATGTTGCTTAACCAACTGCTCTTATTTATTCATGGAGAGTATAATGTTTTTCTCCTTCTCTTGTTGGACAGAGTGGTTTAGAGTGACCAGACAGGAAGATGGATGAGCTGCAGGATGTACAGCTGACTGAGATCAAGCCGCTGCTGACCAATAAGGTGAGTTGTGGTGAGAACGAGACACTAACAAGCTGCCAAGACAGCAGACATTTGGCTGTGCACCTGAAATGATCTGTATAACCACACACGACAAAGTGAAAAGACACATTTTGTGCTCTTTAAGTGCATCAGCTTCCACCATGGCATTTCTTGGCAAATACATACACTAATATACTAGGCATGCACACTCTGCAGTCTCGTTCATCAAAGTGAATTATTCATATCTGCTCAACCGTCGAGAGGGAAAGGAAAAGAAGGGGGAAAAAAATGAGAGAGCAAGTGGATTTAAAAAAAAAGACGTTGTAGACAGAATGAGGCAATAGAGTAGAAGAGAAGGGGGCGTATAATGTAAGAGAGTCACAGAAAACAGTCCAGCAAGAACGAAGAAAGATCAAAGGAGAAGCTGGAAGAAATTCATCTCTCTTTTTTTTTTCTTTCTTTTTGAAAGCGTGAAAGATTTTAGCAAGTGAGCAACGACAAGAGCAGACAGAAGACGCAAAGAAACAGCCAAATGGCAGATCAAAGCTCCTCCTGTCCTCTTCTGGCCTCCTCTTCTCAGCTTCATCTCTACAGCTGATTAAGTGATTAGAAAGAGGGTGTTTACACCGGAGTGTTTTGTTGTCTCCTGGGGAACAGTCAGGAGGGTGCAGAGCCTCAGAGGAGGAGTGATGCTGGTGCTGTACAGGTCTGAGGGGTTTCACGGTGCCTCAGTGATCGGCCGGAAGAAGCAGTAGGAGAACATTTCGCCTTGTCAGGGTTTAATGCTCGTTAAGGTAACGGGGTGGGGAACATGCATCACAGAAATGATCTGAATGGAGACTGGCACTGACCTCTCACTCCACCTAGTGGCCAGCTCATTAAAAGTTAAACCAGGAGTCTTGAAAGCAGATCAAGATGATGATATGATAACAGTGATGAAAGAGGATCCTCATTTTCTTTTTGGTCCTATGCAGAAACCAGTTCTGATTAACATACTGATGATACATGATTTTAACTGATCACACAGCTAGGAAAGAGGAAGAACTAGGCACTGTCAGCAGCAGCAAAGTAACCATAACAACCGCAAAGATCAACCAAACACCTATCATCAGCAGGGGTTATGAAGATATGTGACTTTTTTTCTTTTGAAGCCATCTATAATGGGAGTTTAGGACAGGATGGCAAGTCCAACTCACCATTTACAGAACTTGAAGCATCTGCTCCTGATGTCTTCTGATACCACAGAGTACCCTCAGTGATTTCACAGAGTCCATGCCACGGCGGTTGAGCTGTTTTTGCCAGCAGCTGATGTTGACTACATTTGGTCTCATCCGTGTAAGCAGAGCTGCATCAGATTATATGGAAGAAGCTGCTAATTTATTTAAAACTCTCCTCGCTCTCTTCAACAAGTTGAGGCAGCTTAGTGAGATGAATGTGCTTCGTAAACAGACTTCAGACAGTTTTAATGTTTATCGTTTTGGGCAATGTCTTCTTGGAAATGTCGCTCACATGTTGCGGTTCACTTATCATGAGGCTGAAGTAAACACTTTTTATTTCTTTTTGCTGGCTTCATCACATCTCATACTTATCTGAAAATTACATTTTGGTAACGGCGGAGTGTAGACGGATACAAACATGATTTTACCATGATTTTTGCCACACAGCTATGTCAGCAGAAAGAAGAAAGGGACAGTTCTGTTGCCTCCATCTGCCTCCAAGCCCGTGTACATGTTGTACCTACAACTGAATCCCATAAGAATCTTCTCTGTTGTCTGCTGCCCACTCTCACTTCTCTGCCCATCTCCTTTCTAGCATCCTGCTGATTCAGTAAAAACGAATGCTGCACTATCCAGCAAAGAGTGCAGTTATTATACTGTTCAACTATTAATGGTATTAATGTAAGACACATAGAAGAAGATCCAATGAATGAACCACCATTACACAAACATATTTTTGACTTCACACAGAAATGTGCCATCTGTAAGTATAAGGTACATTTTGATCCTCCTCTTTTACTTTTTCTTGCAGAATGCACGGAACTTTCAAGATTTCGACTGCCAGGTGAGTTTTATTCTCTGCTTCTTTTGTTGTGCTGTGGTTAGAGGAGATGCCGTTGTGCTTGTGGAAGGGGGTTGGGGGCATTGGGACATGGCCTCATTCTCAGCCCCTTACTGCTGAACCCATCCGTTTGCCTGCCCTACATCTGAACATTGTTTCTCACAGGTAGCAACCAATTTTACCACACGCCACATGCGGGTGAAATGTTTGGATTCTTCTAATGGATAAATCAATGAGGTCAGGGTGTGTTTTGCTCAGCCTTGGCCTTGCTTGCACTGACTGTGAACAGAATAGAAAAACAAGAGTTTACCGAAAAAAAAGAGCTCTTTCCTGATTAACCTTCTGTTGCTTTTGATTATGTGCACCTGTGTTTCTGTGGAAGAAAGTGCAGAGGCCACTTCAAAATCGTCTCAGAATTTTTAATTCACACTTAGCATGCAAATATTTGACCTATCAGATGAAACCTGGGTACATAGACCATTTAAGATGAAGCTGCAGCAGGGGTATTAATGAGCAATTCATTCAAAAAAAGCATATTTTTCATTTCTTTATTCAGTTGGTATACTCACTGTGTCTATGTTAGAAGTGTACCTTTTTAAAAGTCCCTTATTATGCCCATTTATCAAATTAACGAAAGTCTCATAACCTCAGAATGTGGCTTTCAGTTTTTCCAGTTTAAAACACTGATGTTTTGGAAATTGGCTGTGTTTGCATCTGTGGCTTTAAATGCAGTCAACAGTTGGCCACCATCATTTGACATGAAATTATGTACAGATATTCAGCAAAATAAAAAGTCTTGTTTTTATCCCAGGTGTATGGGTGAGTTTGTCAGACAACGTGAAGTGACTGCCGGTAAACACATTGTCTTAATAGGCGGTGTTTCAGTCACTATTTCTTTTGTCAGGTGCATAAATCTAATGTCATTGAGCCGCTTTAATGGGAATTCTGCTGCATAAAATGCCGTATATGTGAGCACAGAGGGCAGGAGAGAAAGAAACAGATGCAAACACCAGCTGCGTTTACATTGCACTGAACAGGCGACATTAAAAAGCGTAACCCAACCATTAGTCTTTAAGTGTCCACCATCTCTTAATTTCCACAGAGCTCTGACCTGTCGGCATACATTCAAAGTTAATGGTAACATTAGTCACATTAGTCTAGAGGAATGGCAGTGGTAGGCGTCTTTATATCCCCACAGCTTTTATTTTACATCTCCACGTTTATAAGACTTAAATCTCCGTATAGGATCCTTTGAAGCAGAAAGAAATGGAAATTGAATACCTAATACACTTTAGCATTGTCATTGCAATATTGAACAATGTTACAACACATCACAGGTTTCCCTTACATCCCGCAGCCCTACCCAGCACACTGTTTTGTTGGGGGACAAACCCCTACCTTGAATTCGTATGGATGCATTGCAAATCTGTGTGAATTAACAGTCATGTTTGCAGGCATGTGGATACCTTGGCATGATATGAAAAGCCAATATATTCACATTCGCTGCCTGTTTAGTGAAATTAAGACAGTTTAGGATACACTCTAAAGGAAAAAGAAGATTTGTTGAAACTCCTTTTAAAAACCTAATAAAAGGATTTGGTGATGGACTACAAATATATATAAGCTCATTAAATTGTAAGGATGAGAAAGCTGTTCCTGTGAGGTTGTAGGTCCTAATGATCCAGCAGCGAGGCTATATGTATGCACTCATATATCCACCATTATTACCATGACTTGTGGAAACTTGCATGTCATTCCTGCCTCACTCCCCTTGGTACATTTTACAGTCAGATCACTAGAGACAGGCAAAATGCTATAAGCCTAACCTTGAATGGCCACACTGCAGAATTATACTTTTTGTGAGGGCTTGAAGGGCATCATGTTTTTCACTCAGCTCATATTAGGTGCAGCAGTTGGTTTAGCACTACCTCCAGAGATTATTAGCAGGACTTTTAGACTCTCACCATGTGTCTCAAAGGGCACAAAGTGTTGCTGTTTGAAGACATGAATATTTATATGTGAATGAATATAGGTATTTCTGAGATTTGTGGAGATGGTTGTCTTCTCTCTTTTGTGATGGATACATGTGATCTTTACAGAATTGAATCTCTTCTTTTAGGTAGTGTCTGCCGCAGTACGCTTGTAGTGTTGCAGACAATGCGCTTGCCTTTTTACAGAAAATATTTCAGCTATACTGAGGTCTATTTATGTGCTAAAGTCAGAGTAGTTATCATTCAAGAGAACAAGGTTATTGGCCTTGAGTGGGCGCTGTTCCAGATTCCTTTGTTTGATCCTGTCTTCGCATTGGGAATCAGATTGCCAGCCCTCCGCCCTCTGCTTTTCCTTGCGAGGAGTCTCCAGCATGAGGAGGAGCGGCTTTCCAGAAGCAAAGCTCTCTGCTGTGTTTTAATGGGCATCACGGCTGCAAAGGGTTAAACCTTTCATCCCTCTCTCACTTTCTGCAGTCACGCCTGCTTCCAGCATCCCACCAGAGCTAAATATAGCTGCTGCAGGCAGGGGAGGAGAGTAAGCATGTTAGCTGGAGCAGGCATGCCACATGCTCCCCAGCATACATTCCTGCTGCCTGCATTATGATTAATACATTCATATTCATACAATGCTGCGCTCCATCAGCTGCTCGTCTTCTCAGTGTGATGTTCCTTCCTCACCCTATTGTGATTCAGTTCAAGGCATGCAGTTGTAAGTTACAGAAAGAATTGTGCCAGCGTTAGTCTCGGTGGTATTGAAGCAGACTTAAGTGTATTTGACCTTATTTCCATGGCGGCCATTTTGACCTCACACAGTCACACTCAGGAGTTTCAAGGAATTGTTAAGATAAATCCTTATAGTAAGGATCCTTTGAACTCTCCTCAGGAGGTTTGCAGCAGGGTGACAACTCAAAGGATTTAATAGTCTTTTAAATAATCACTAAAACATGCCTGAATTGTTAGGGAAATGTGTAGGACAATTTTTGACCTAATTACTACTTTGAAGTTTATTCTCTTACTAGCTGCAGTATGTAGGCTACAATCTAGCAGCAAACTTTAAATTAAAGTACGACATAAAAAGATGTATTAATGTACCTCCAGTTTTTGCAATTTTGTCAGTTGGAAATGTAGGAAATGGCGCGGATGTAATGTGAACACTTAAAATGTCATGTTGAAATAAGGTGTGTAATTTTATTGTACCTGTCACTCAGTGTAGTAATACGAGGACAAAAGCAGCCCACATGCAGTGCAAGGCGCCAGCATCAGACTTTCTATAAATACAATGTGTGTAAGAGGGGAATTTACCGCCGCACCATCAATCTGAGCTGTGACATTCCAGCAGCTGGAGGACGAATCCAGCTGCTCTCCTCCTGCTGCTAAAGCTCCCACCACAGGCCGTCCACAGGTACTGCAGCAGTCACGTTGGAGCGCTGTGCACCTGAAGGAGGAGGGCGGTAATGGCAGTGGTGAGGTGGGGTCAGAGAGGAGAACCTGAAGGAGCCTTGCTGCAGTCTTGTGTCTGCAATAAGGCCCGGCTTACATCACTGAGAGGCGTGGAGGGGAGGAAGGCGTGAGTCAGCCTCATCACGCCCATGGGACCTGCTGTGTTTTAAAGTGATTCAGAACACAGAGTTATTTTGTGCACATGGAAATGGCTGACTGTACGCTTTAAAAATAGATGTGGTGTGATGGTGTCCCTGCGATCTTTTATGTTCATTGTTCTAAATGTCCTTTGAGTCTATGTTTTATAAATGTTAGTTTTCCGTACAATCTTGTCGTCGTTACTCATTAAGTTTGTCATTTCATGGCTATGTCCAGCTTCAATGACGCTTCTCGTCTTGACCTTGTATCGTTGTACCACTGTTGAGACAAATGACTGTGAAGTCATGCCTGAAGCTTTTTAGACCCTCACTGTCTCATTAAGCTCAGCAGAGGGCGCCATCAGCCTGTTCATTTTGTGGATCGCCTGTTCTCCTTTGGTGTGATGTCTTCTCAGTCTGCTGTGCTTTTTTGTTGTTGTTGGAGCATCCTTAAGGGAGGCTTAGGCATCTTAAAAAGCTGGTGTAATCCAAATACAAGCACTACTCACTGTCTTAGAAGAGGACATGCCATGTCATGCTACACGGTGGACAGTTTATTGCAAAATGTTTTCCTGAGCTTGGTCATTTTAATATATAGTAACATGTTGAAATGAAACCCTGAATTGTGGAAATGTTGATACAAAGCTTATATTTAACTGGCGCTTGTGCGCCTGTGTGACTCCTCAGACTGCAGAGTCGTGCTGAGACACTTGGTAGCTCACAAAGAGACATCTGCCCTGAAGAGAAAAGGGTGTGTTCAGTCGTAGATATCATCTCCATGAGCTGATGTGACATATATACCATAATGTGGCATAACTGATATGAATAATGTTCTCACCCAAATGACTCAAATGGCGGAAAGAACAAAAAGAAGAAAAACATTCTACATGTATGGAAATAAAGTGTTGGACGTATTCATTTCCATTAGCATCATACTAAAAAAAACCACCAAATGCACATTTTTCGTATGAGTTATGCTTTATTTGTTTTGTATGGACCACAAGTGTTTAGTCCTTCATATGTACATAGATTACATGTGTGTCACTGGCACCCTCTGTGGGTTAGGACAGGAAAGATTTAGAGAAACAGCAGTTTACAACCGAACATGCTACCACATTGACCAGCCAATGAAGCACACCTCGTCCCTTTAAGCCCACCGACTGTACATGTGTGCTATTGGCTGCACAAAGCAGCCTGTTTCAGACGCAGACGTGACACCCTGCACTGCTAGCAGTGGTGCTGGTGACAGAGGAGAGTAGAAAAGGAGAGATCAATAAACTATGTGGATCAAATGACTCAGCGGGAAGTTTAGAGGGCACGGATCCTAAAAATGTATGGCTGTGATTGTAGGAAATAAAGTGAAATAGTAGCTCGTAGTGTATTTTTTTTGGTAAGCCTGCAGCACGAGGAGGGTTATCTGTTAAAGGTCAATGCT